AAAGAAAAATCCTCTCTTCCCACAAGACATGAATACATATACTTACACACAAATGCACACACATTTAGGAAACTTTAAATCACACCTATAAAAAAACCCAGGAGTCAAAAATGACCCATAATGGGATGAGAAAACACTAGGAACTGAATGGCAATGAAAGCACTATACAGTTGGATCCTTGAATGCAGGTTTGAACTGTGTGGATCCACTGATATCCAGATATTCTTCTGCCTCTGACACCCCTGAGACAGCAAGACCAACACCTCCTCTTTCTCCTCCTCAGTCTCTTCAACATGAAGACCTTTATGATGATCTGATAATCCACTTCCACTTAACAGTAAATATATTTTCTCTTCCTTATAATTTTCTAATAACATTTTATTTTCTCTGGCTTATGTTATTTTAAGAACACAGTATATAATATACATAACACATAAAATATGCGATAATCAACAGTTTGTGTTATCACAAAGGCTTCCAGTCAACAGGAGACTATTAGTAGTTAAATTTGGGGGGAATCAAAAGTTATACACAGATTTTCAACTGTGGGGGAAGGGGTGGTGGATCCCCAACCCCATGTTGTTCAAAAGTATTTCAAACTTGTACAATCAATAAGAGGTACTTGAAGAGAAAATTAGAGCCATGAAAGCATTTTTTGTTAAGTCTTAAACTCAAGAAATTAGAAAAAGAATAGTTATCCCAATGAAAATGAACAAAAGGGAACAAAATATGAGAAAATAGAAAACATACAATGGAAATAATAAATAAAACTAAGTTCTTTGAAAAAAATTAAACTGGTAAACCTATATATAGTAAGAAACCAAGAAAAAAGAAAAGGTAAATAACACCAGAAATAAAAAAGGAACCAAAATCAAATGCACAGGATGAAAATACAATGAAAAGCTTCACGCCAATAAATTTGTCATATTACATGAAATGGAGTTTCCACCAAAAATACAAATTACTAAAACTGACTCAAGAAAAAACAGAAACAGACCATAAGAATAACAAAATTGAATCAATGATTTAAAAAGCAACAAAAACTGCCCTCCATCACCACTCTTCCCCTAAAAAGGCCGCCAGCCAAGACAGTTTTAAAGGCAAGTTCTACTAGATCTTGAAAGTACAGATAAATCACTAATCTATCCAAGCTCGGCCACATAATGGTAAGAGGGAAACAACCTCTTACTTTAAGAGGACAGTATACAATCCAGATAATAAAATCTGATGAAAACAATTTGATAAAACAAAATTAAAGGTAATAAATGCAAAAATCCTTAAAACACACACACATACACATACACACAAAATGAATGCAGAATCATCATGACCAAGTAGAGTCTACATTAGAAATTCAGATGCCTTAACAGTAGAAAATATTAATGTAAATTACATTGATGGGTTAGAAAAACATATGATCCTCTCAATTGAAGAAGATACTTGATAAATTATCACTTATTCATGATTAAGTTTTAGAAATTAAGAAAAGAATGCCCTTAATCTGAGAAAGAACATGATATTTAAAAAAATCCTAGATTACAGCAATCCTATAAACCTAAATATAAAAAGATGCTCAGCTTCATCTTTTGTAAACAGTAGTATTGTTTTTGTGTTGTAAACTGTAATACTGTTTTCATGTTTCCAATTATTCACCACCTTCCTATGAGAGGATACCTGCTCACCATATTGTCACTGGCCTTGACCATGTGACTGGCTTGGCCAGTGAAATGTAAGTTAACATAATATACACCACTCCCAAGCAGAAGATTCAGGAACCATAGTGTGGCTTCTGCCATGTTTTCTTTTCCCTTTATTGTGAGACCAGCATGTTTCAGGTATGGGCTACTCTTTTGGTCTTGACCATAGTGTGGGCTTCTGCCATGTTTTCTTTTCCCTTTATTATGAGACCAGCACATTTCAGGTACAGGCTACTCTTTCAGTCTCGGTCAAAAATAAAGATGGCATGGAACAGAGCCACAGCCAACTCACCAAGTACGTGTGACATGAACAAAAAACAAACCATTGCTATGAGGTTGTTACTGCAGCATAACCTAGTGAAAGTTGACAGTGATTAAATAAATGCAAATTAAAATACTGATGTGATTTCACACACATGATTGATCAAAATTAATAAGTCTGATAATAAGAAGTGCTAATGACAATGTGTTAAAATCAAACTTAATGGTTGCTGGTTGCAATGAAAATTGGATCATTCACTTTGGCAATATCTGCGAAAACTGAAGAAGTAAAACTGTATCCCATCAACAATTTCACCACTTGATGCCTACCCCAAAGAAACTCTTGCACAAGTAAACAAGGAAACATGTCCTAGAATGTTCACTAAAGGACTGTTAGTATATAAAGGAAGTGAGCCTCAGTAGGGGAATGGATAAATTGGTTGAGTCATTCAAAGAAATACGATACAGCAGTTAAAATGAATAAAGAAGATTTACACATCATAAAATATACAAGGCAAGAAGGAAAAAATGGGAATGAAATTTAGCAATGTCGTTAATGTTTTATTTCGTTAAAGATCTAAAACACACAGCAAAATTGTAATATCTGATTAAATTTTTATAGTGGTACACAACTGTCTCTTCCATTATTTCTTTATTTTTGTAGTTTTTAAATAAATATTTCATGACATTTTAAAAAAGATAAAGAATAAAAATAGATTTAAACCATAAAGTACATCAATCTATCTTGTGGTTTAGTGATAAAAAGAACTTTAGAAATTAATAGGCATTTTGGATCCTCTAAATAATCCTATGTTCTACAGATAAAGAAAAGGCCAAGAGAGGTTGAATAAATGACTCAAAGTCACTTAAGATCAAGCTGGTGCTCAAAAATGTAGACTCCCAGCCAGGAGCCTTGGCTCATGCCTATAATCCTAGCACTTTGGAAGGCCAAAGCAGGAGGATCGCGTAAAGTCCTAGGTCCAAGACCAACATGAGCAAAAGCTAGACCTCGTCTCTACTAAACATAGAAAAAATTAGCAAGATGTGGTGGTGCCTACTTCTGTAGTCCCTGATACTTGAAAGGCTGAGGCAGAAGGATTGCTTGAGCCCAGGAGTTAGAGGTTGAGCTGAACTAGGATGATACCACTGCACTCTAGCCAGGGCAACAGAGTGAAACTCTGCCTCAAAAAATAAATTAAAAAAAAAAAAAAAAAAGTAGACTCCTTAACTTCTAGGGTAGGTAGGAAAGACAACATAGGTATGGTCAAATTTTATACAATGTCATTGACCAAAGTTAAAAAAAAACCATTCTCTTCTATTCTTTTCCTTACTGTCCTCCACTCCTACCTCTGAGACACAAAGTTAGTTTTCCTCTATCCCTCTTCTATCTCTCTCTCTTTCTCTCTGGAACAGGAAGGGAGTCTTAGGAAAGGACAAGAGGGAAGTGTTTAAAAGGGGGCAGAAGAAAAGAAAGCTTTAAGGATTGCTACAGTCCGAATGTGTCCCTCCAAAATTCATGTTGAATCGAATCCCTATTATGGTGGTATTAAGAAGTGGTGGCTTGTAGGAGGTGATTAAATCATGAAGGCGGAGCCCTCAAGAAAGAGATCAGGACCCTTATTTGAGAGATTGAAGGGAGATACCTTGCCCCTTCCACAAAGGGAGGACACAGCACTTGTCCCTTCCACTATGTGAAAATGCAGTAAGAAGGTGCCATCTTGGAAGCAGAGACCAGCCCCTCACCAGATACGAAATATGCTGGCACCATGATCTGGGACTTTCCAGTCTCTAGAACCAAGGGCAATTAATTTCTGCTGTTTATAAATTATCAAGCCTAAGGTATGTTGTTATGGCAGTAAGAATTAAGACAAGGATGTTTAATCCTCTTTTGCTACTCCTTTTCTTTAAACAATTGAAATCTCAAAGCAATTACCTCAAATGAGTAAAATAAAGTTCTAGATAACTAATACAAAGATGAGGACAAGGACCATAAATTATTCATCTTAGTATCCTCAGCATCTTGCAATATGATACACATTCAAATATATAATAAACTATTGTTCAACTAGATAGACATAAGATGTCATTACCAAGCTGAATGCTTTCATTGTTGTTAAAGCATTACTTCTATTATTAACGAGAATGTGAGACATTAAAAAAAATTTTTTTTAATATTTAATAGATTAGAATACCAAAGAAAAGACTAGACTAGACTTTAACAAGCAAGATAGGTCCCATGTGTGACAGATAAAATAGTATATAGTTCTGTGGCTAGGTCCGTGAGCTCTAAAATCAAATTACCAGGGCTGGAATATTGGCTCAACCACTAACTAGCTGTGAAACTTTCAGCAAGTTGTTTAATCTCTCTATCCCACGTTCCCCATTGCAACACTGAGAATACCAATGATACCTACCTTATACAGTTTCTCATAAGTATTAAATGAGATAATCCATCAAAGCACTTGACACAGTTCTTCAGTGAACACTAGCTATTAGTATACATCATAAAGTGATTTAGTTGTAAAAAATAACAAACTCTTCTGACTGACATAAAATTATAAGGTGCTAAATGCATTGGCTTCTGTCAGCATCAATACTAATGAATTATATGTTCTGGAAAGCATGGGTGATTTTTAATTAAATGAAACTAAATCAATGAGCCAGATTTTAAGCCATTATCTGTCTCAAGATAAAACATTTGGGGTTATATTTCATTATTCTAAAATGTTGACCTAGTACTATCATGTCTCCTCAAGAAAAACATCTGATAGCCAGAGGTAATATTCAAAATATTTAATGCCCATCCAGAACAAATACCAGGCGGTATACATGACCAATATAGACTGGCAGAGAGTTGTCCCTGCTTATCTTAAGGGTCAGGAAATATTGTTTGTAATAGAAACGATGGCTTATTTCTATGGGCTTTTTTTTTTTAATACAAAACTGTAAAAAACTAGCTTATAGGAACTTGGTAAAACACATTCATTGTACTATGCCACAAACACACATCAATATAGCTCTCCGTTCAGCTCCCTGACTCACCTCCAGGTCACAGCTGTATTCAGTGCCATCTAAGAGGATCACTTTACACTGGACAGTTTTGGTCTTCTTGGTGGCTTTTTGAGAGGCCTTCTCTGCTTTTAGCTCATTGGTCTGCACTTCCTTGGTCACTCTTTTTGATGCTGTTGCTCCTTCTGATTTGTCTTCTTGTAATTCCTTTACCTTCTCCTCTTCTCTCTCCTTACTTACTAATTCATCAGGCTGTTGAAGAAAACAATTAAGTTCATACTCAAGTTAACCAAGTTGCAGAAGACAACAAACAAAAAGGAAAATTTTTAATAAGAATCGTGATTATTGTAACCACTGTAAGCCTAAGATTTTAAAAGACTTGAGAATTCTGCTAGAAAGGAAAGTTCCCCTCATCTTCCTTCCACTGCCAATTCTCTCATTTGGCAAAGTTGGTCATTTCAGCATTAAATGTGTAAAAGAAATGACATCCCTGCAACTACTACTTAAATATCATTTCAAACAATACAATTTCTGATCAAAATCTCATACCATGGCAAAACCTAGGTTTCATTAGGCAACCATAATGCACAAATCTACTACTGACTACCCACTGAATACCTAAATAAATCAAATCAAAAAGGTATAAAAGGGCATTCTGTTTAAAAGGAGAGATTACAGGAGTCTGAGAGAATATACACAACCTTAAAAGGAACAGACTTGAATCTTTTAGTAATCTGCTTATATACTGGATTTTTTTTAAAGGATTAACAGGAGAAGCCTAGGGAAGACCAATCCAAGACCCATATTGCAGAAACATTAAGTCAAAGCAGTTATCTCCATACAAGAAATCTAGAAATGATCCAAAACAAACCAACTCTTTTTTGTTATGTGGTTATGCTATCTAGTGTTCATTTCCAGACAAGCACTCCCAAACATACCTGTGTCTCAGCTCTGCTCACAGAAGGTTTTTCTTCCTTGCTTTCAACCTTAATCTCCAGTTGCTTCCTTTGAGTCATTTCTTCAGCATCACCCTTGGCCTGTCTCTCTTCTTCTGGAAGAGGTTCCTCTTTATCAAAGACCTGTTCTTCCACAACAGCTTGGGTAGGCTCTTTTTTATCTCCTCCATCTTTGGCCACGACTAAGGTATATGACCTTTGTTTCTTAAGCCATGGGGGTATGAATCGGGAAATACCCCTTCTCTCAGATGGCTCCTTCTGTCTCTTCTGGAAGCGCACACTACTTTGGCTTTCAGCTGTAGGAGATGGCTGGGAACCTTCTTCTTCCTCTGGATCAGCTGACTTATTCTGCTGGTTTTCTGCTACTTCTTTAGGTTTCTCCTTGGTTGCGCCTGCTCCTAACTGGTCAGAGTCCTTCTTCACTTCAGAGGCAGAGCCTACTTCAGTAGTCATGGTTACAGCTTATGCTATAAATGAAACAAAATCATAAAATGTTATTTTCCAAACTCTCCCGATTTTAATTTTGTGGCAAGGGGCAGGGTAAGGAAGGCTAGGAAGGGGAATAGCAGAGAGATAACAGGGAGAAAGCACACAACAAGAGGGTTCAAAACCACCAGAAAAAAATGAAGATTTTTACTCTAATTTGCAGAATTCTCTCAGAGTCACAGAACCAAAACTAGTGTCACAACAATAGAATTCTAAATCTAAACAGCTGGAACTTAAAGTCACAAAGACCAAGAGTGATTACTTTTGATAGGTTTCAACTAGTTACAAATAATATTATAATTGACTAAAACAATCCAATTTTTAAAGGAAAATTACTTTTCTCTATACTTAGTATCCTTCATTCTTAATATGAAAACGTTATCAACAATGTTAAAAAGTATCAAGGCACATTTCACAGAAATTTCACACGTTAAAACCAAAATCTACCAAAATATGAAGTGTTATAAAAACAAATTTTAAAAGTCACATGCCTAATAGCAAGAAAATTAAATCTGGAACAAAGATGTATTATTTTGTTTTCCAATATTAAGTCTCATAATTCACTGTGACTATTCCAATGCAAAAGTTAATTTTCTGGGAAAGTTACTCAAACTATAATCAAATCACCAAAACTTCCATCCCATCCAACTCAGTTATACTTTTCTTTGTATATGTGATTATAAGAAAAATATCTAAGGACCCTAATCCAAATAAAATGAAGACATTATAGAGTGGAAAAAAATACATTCAATGATTGATCTTATCAGAACTAATGAAAACAAAAATTAAATCTGAAAATAAATGGTTGCCTAAATTTTACACAAGCAAAGAGGGACTTTTAAAGTCTGGAAGTATCACTGACATACAGCATAGGTGGGCCTGCACAGACAGCAGATCACACTCACTCTCTTTTCTCTTGCCAGTGACAACAGTGCTCAAACTCCTGGCACGGTGGCCAGAAGGTACTGTCCCAGGTATCCTCAAAAGTGGTACAAACTTAGGGCTGGTGTGATGGCATGCACCTGTAGTCCCAGCTACTTGGGAAGCTGAGGCAAATGGATCACTTGAGCACAAGAGTTGGAGGCTGTAGTGTGCTATGATCACACCTGTATTCACACTGTACTTCAGCCTGGGCAACATGGCGAAAGCCCCCTCTCTTAAAATACAAATTTGAATAGGTCAAAAAAAGAGAATAAAGTACACATTTTAAAGTTTTGACATATAATTCAAATATCATAAAATTCACCCTTTCAAAGTGTACAGTTAGTGGTTTTGAGTATTCCAAAGGTTATGCGACCATCACCACTAATTTTAGAGTATTTTCATCATTCCAAAAAGAAACCCTGTACCCATTATTATTCATATCTTCTGCGAATCACATATCTGATAACAGGTGTCCTGATACTAATTCAGAATATATAAAGAACTCTTACAACTCAACAAAAAGACATAAAACCCAATTTAAAACTGGACAAAGGACTTGAGTAGACATTTATCCAAAGAAGATATACAAATGGCCAATAAGCACAAAGAAATGTACATCAAAACCACTATGAGATACCACTTCACACCCACTAGGATGTCTAGAATCAAAAAGATAGTGGCCGGGCATGGTGACTCATGCCTATAATCCTAGCACTCTGAGAGGCTGAGGCAGGCGGATCGCTCAAGATCAGGAGTTCGAAAGCAGTGTAAGCAATAGTGAGACCCTATCTCTACCAAAAATAGAAATAAATTAATTGGCAAACTAAAATTATATATAGAAAAAATGAGCTGGGCATGGTGGCGCATGCCTGTAGTCCCAGCTACTTGGGAGGCTGAGGCAGGAGGATCGCTTGAGCCCAGGAGTTTGAGGTTGTTGTGAGCTAGGCTGACCCTATGGCACTCTAGCCCGGGCAACAGAGTGAGACTCTGTCTCAAAAAAAAAAAAGATAGATAGTGGCCAGGTGTGGTGGCTCATGTCTATAATCCTAGCACTTTGGAAGGCTGAGGCAGGAGGATCACTTGAGGCTTATGAGTTCAAGACCAGCCTGAGCAACATAGCAAGACCTCATCTCTCAAAAAAAAAAAAGTAATTTTTTTTAATTAAAAAAATATAGTAACAAGTATTGGTGAAAATGTGGAAAATTTGGAACTGTCAACATTGCTAATAAGAATATAAAATGGGGCCACCACTTTGGAAAACAGTTTGGCAATTCCTTAAAAAGTTAAACATGGAGTTACCATATGACCTAGCAATTCTAATGCTAGGTATATACCCAAGATAAATGAAAGCATCTCTTCACACAAAAATTTGTACATGAATGCTCATAACAGCATTATTCATGATAGCCAAAACAAATGGAAACAACCCAAATGTCTATCAACTGATGAATGGATAATATGTGATATCCATACAACAGAACATTATTCAGTCAGCAAAAGGAATGAAGTGCTGATACATGGTATCACATGGGCAAATCTTGAAAATATTATGCTAAGTGAAAAAAAGCCAGCTACATGTTGTATGATTCCATTTATGTAAATGTCCAGAATACGCAAATCCAAACAGATTGAAAGTAGATTATTGGCTGCCAGGGGCTGAGGGGACAGGAGGATGGAGAATATCTATTTACAGGTACAGTTTTCTTTTTGGAGTGATAAAAATGATCTAGAATTAGAGTATGGTGAGGGTTGCACAACCTTCTGAATATGCTCAAAACCACTGGATTGAATCCTTTAAAAGGGTGAATTTTATGGTATGTGAATTATAGCTCAGTAATAAAAAATAATTTTTAAAATGTTATTCACATCTAATATACAAGCACAAAAACAACCAATCAGCCTATATTTAATGGCTCCTAGAATGTGCCAAGAAGTAGGCATGAGAATAAAGACTGCCTTCAAGAAGCTGAGCGAATGAGGAGTATAGATAAGCACAGATAAGCCAAGAGCATGTTGCTTAGAAAGCACAGGACTGATACTTAACCCAGATTAGGAGAAGAGGGTCCTCCGGCAAGCCTTTCTACAGAAGTTAGCCTTTGAGGTGCTTTTAAAATAATAAGTACTCATTAATCAGACAAAGTAGTCAGGACAGCAGGTACATGTCAGGCACAAAGAGGTGTGTGGAAACATGAGAGCATTCCTCACAGAGGAAACCATAGGTACAGAACAATGATCCACTGTAGAAGTGAAGTGGGAACTTGTGTGTGGAGATAGAAGGGGAGGTGGAAGGCAAATTGGTAATATTAATAATTAACACTAAGAGAAGGAGGCAGAAGCCAGAACATAAAAGACTTTGTGTATGTTTTCTTTGTTCTGGTTTTTTTAGAGACAGGGTCTCACTCTGTTGCCCAGTCTGGCCTTTGAACTCCTGATCTCAAACAATCCTCCTACCTTAGCCTCCCGAGTAGCTGGGACTACAGGCACACATCACCATGCTCGCCCCCATTGCTCTCCACCCCAGCTGTGTGTGTTATTTTAAAGGCAATGAGGAGGTTATTTTAAAGGCAAAGAGAAGCCATATTAACTACTTTAAATAGAGGACCAAGAGAATGAGATTCCCATTTCAGATAGCCCAACCTGACTGTAAAGTACAAAATGAGAGAAAAAACTGAAACAGAAAGACATCCAGAAGATTGTTACAGTAATGCAGACATGAAAAACACATGTACAATGTCGGAAGCGACTGGGTAAAGGACAAGAAATGAATCTAATGGTAAACAGGTAGAGTGGACATGACTTGGTATTCAAATTGAATAGAGAAAGTCAAAGAGAAGAATCGAGGACAAGTTCCAGGTGATGGGAGACTGGAGTGATGGTAGAATTATCCATGGGAATGGAGCATACCAGTAGAAGTGGGACTAGTTGACATTTAACTTAATTATTGAATTCACTGTGATTGAGAAGTTTGTGGAAATATCCATTTGGCCACGAGACACACAAGTTTTGAATGGAGGCTAGGCATGCAGTAGAGATATGGCTTGGGGGTTGTCATCATATGGGCAACAGCTAAAAGCACAGGTGATACTGGCATCACCTAGATAAAAAGTGTAGCTTAAGCTTAGAGGACCCTAAAAAGAACCCTTATTACTGTATGTAAGGATCAGGCAGAAGAAAAGGTATGAGGACCAGAAGAAATATATAGTGAGACAGGAAAATCAGGGAACAATAATGTCCTTGACAGCCATACTACACAAGAGGGAATAGTTAACTACCATACCTACGTGTCCAGTGTTACTTCTCATTTTAGGCCCCTGAAATTCAAAATCACATCTTCCAATAAGAACCTGAGGACACTTAAACTGGTTCCATGTTACACAGAAAACCTTTTTTTCTTTAATGTATCATTGACCATGTACCATTTTAGTGGAGCATATCATTTACATTAATCATGAAATGAACAAAGTTGATTTCTAACATATGCTATCTAATTACATTTTGAGAACTGAATAAATGTCCTGGTAAGATTAAAACCCAAATATCCCATGCCTGTCTAAGCTAACCAAGACAAACAGGCAGCTCTCTAATTACTTTGGTTATGAGAAACAGTCTGGGGACCAATCACTAAAGATGATTTTTGACCAAAATATTTTAGAAGCAATAAAATATAAAACTCAAGTTTCCACTATTATGTTAAAAGCATTAACAGTTATTTATATTTCAATCATAAGAGCTATTACTCAACGTTTACTGTGTCAGACACTGTGCCCATAATTTCTGCTCAAATCATCTCACAAAGGCAGGTATTATCCTCATTTTGCAAATAATAAATGGAAGATAAGTTAAGTGACTTGTCCAAGGCCAAGAGATGGAAGACCACAAAGTTGTATACCTCTCCTCACACATACTTCATAATAGAATCACAGCTCCATTGTGCATGAATGACCTACTAACTACAAAGGCCTTGGCCCAGTCCTCAAAGATTCATGCCAGTTTGTGAAAATGACTATAGAACAACACGAGCATATCCTGAGATTTACTATAATTAACCCTGCCACAT